ATTATTATTATTATTATTATTATTATTATTATTATTATTATTATTATATTGGAGATGGAATTTTTCTCTGTAGCCTTGGCCATCCTGGAACTTGCTCTGTAGACCAGGCTGGCCTCGAACTCACAAATATCCACCTGCTTCTGCCTTCAAGTGCTGAGATTAAAGGTATGTGCCCGGCTAAGACCTGAAAATTGAAATAGAAGCAATAAAGAAAACACAAAGTGAGGGATTTCTGGGAATGGGAAATCTAGGTAAGCAAACAGGAACTACAGATGCAAGCATCACCAACAGAATACAAGAAATGGAAGCGAGCATCTCAGACGTAGAAGATATGATAGTGAAAATAGATTATCAGTCAAAGAAAATGTTAAATCTAAAAAGTTTCTGATACAAAACATCCAGGAAATCTGGGACACTGTGAAAAGACCAAACCTAAGAATAAAAGGACTAGAGGAAAGAGAAGATTCCAAGCACAAAGGCCCAGAAAATATTTTTGGCAAAATCATAGAAGAAAATTTCCCTAATCTAAAGAAAGAGATGTCTATAAATACAAAAGAAGCTTACATTAAATAGATTTCACCAGAAAGAAATTTGTGTCGTTCCCCCCCCCCCACACACACACTACAAGAGACAATTAATAGCTGCAAGGGGAAAAGGCCATATATAAAGGCAGACCTGACTTCTCAGCAGAGACTCTAAAAGCTAGAAGGTTCTTAGATGTCTTGTAGACTCTAAAAGACCACAGAAGATACTAGAGGAAAAACTCCAACCCACGTTGGTTAACTACACCAAAGAAGACACAGAAATAATCATACCAGTAAAACCAAAGGAAGGAAGCAACACACGCACACTACCAGCACCAACATCAAAATAACAGGAATTAACAGTCATTGATCATTAATATCTCTCAACATCAATGGACTCAATTCCCCAATAAAAAGACACAGACTGATAGAATGGATGGGAAAACAGGAGCCATCATTCTGCTGCATGCAAGAAACACACCTCAGCATCAAAGATAGACATTACCTCAGAATAAAGGGCTGGAAAAAGATTTTCCAAGCAAATGGACCCAAGAAGCAAGCTGGAGTAGCCATTCTAATATCTAACAAAATAGACTTTCAGCAAAAATCAATCAAAAGAGATGGGGAAGGACACTTCATACTCAACAAAGGAAAAAATCCACCAAGATAAGCATCTCAATTCTGAACATCTATGCGCTAAATGCAAGGGCACCCACATTTATTGAGGAAAAAAAAATACTAAAACAAATCACCCATTGAACCCCACACATTAATAGTGGGAGGATTCCACACCCCACTCTCACCAATAGACAGATCATCCAAACAAAAACCAAACAGAGAAATAATGAAACTAACAGATGTCGTGAATCATATGGACCTCACAGATATCTACAGAACATTTCACCCAAACACAAAGGAATATACCTTCTTCTCTGCACCACATGGGACTGTCTCCAAAATTGACCATATAGTCGGTCACAAAGCAAGCCTCAACAGACACAAGAAGATTGAAATAACCCCTTGTATCCTATCAAACCATCATGGACTAAAGCTGGAACTCAACAACTGAAACAACAGAAAGCCTACACACTCATGGAAAATGAACAACTCTCTACTCAGTGACCACTGGATCAAGAAAGAAAAAAAAAAAAGAAAGAAATTGAAGACTTCCTAAAATTTAACAAAAATTAAGTAACAAAATACCCAAAGTTAGGGGACACATTGAAAGCAGTGATAAGAGGAAAGTTCATAGCATTAATTGACTTTATTAAGAAATTTGAGAGTTCTCATACCCGGAACTTAACAACACACCTGAAAACTCTAGAGCAAAAAGAAGCAAACACACCAAAGAGGAGTAGACAGCAGGAAATAATCGAGCTCAGGGCTGAAATCAGTAAATTTGTACTAGAGAACAATACAAAGAATCAATGAAACAAAGAGTTTGATAAAATCAACAAGATAGACCAACCCTTATCCAAACTAACTAAAAGGCAGAGAGAAAAATATCAAAATTAACAAAACCAGAAATGAAAAGGGGGACATAACAGATACTGAAGAAATCCAAAGAATCATTACGTTAAGTCTTACTTCAAAAACCTTTATTCCACAAAATTGGAAAATCTAAAATAAATGGACACTTTTCTTGATAGACACCACTTACCAAAGGTAAATCAAGATCAAATAAACAATTTATATAGACCTATAACTCCTAAGGAAACAGAAGCAGTCAGTAAACTCTGCCAGCTAACCAAAAAAGCTCAGGGCCGGATGGTTTTAGCTCAGAATTCTACCAGACCTTCAAAGAAGAGCTAATACTCCTGAAACTATTCCACAAAATAGAAACAGAAGGATCATCGCCAAACTCATTCTACAGTCACTCTGATATCTAAAAGACACAAAATACTCAACAAAGGAAGAGAATTTCAGACTAATTTTTTTCCATGAACATTGATGCAAAAATACTCAAAAAACTCACAAACAGAATCCAAGAACACATCAAAAAGATCATCCACCATGAAAAGGCGGGCTTCATCCCAAAGATGCAGGGATGGTTCAACAGAAGAAAATCTGTCACAGTAATCCACCATATAAACAAGCTGAAAGGAAAAATCTACATGGTCATCTCATTAGATGCTGAAAAAGTCTTTGACAAAATCCAACATCCCTTCATGATAAAAGTCTTGGAGAGATCAGGGATACAAGGAACATACCTAAGCACAATAAAGACAATATTCAGCAAGCTGATAGTCAACATCACATTAAGTGGAGAGAAACTTAAAGCAGCCTCACTAAAATAAACACAAGACAAGGCTTTCCACTGTCTTTGTACATATTCAATACCATATTTGATGTTCTAGCCTTGGTGATAAGACTTCTAAAGAAGATAAGGGGATACAAATTGGAAAGGAAAAGTCAAAGTGTCGATATTTGCAGATGATATGACACAATCCCAAAAATTCTACCAGGGAACTGCTACTGCTGATACACACCTTCAGCAAAGTGTCTGGATACAAAATTAATTTTAAAAAATCAGTAGCTCTCATATTACAAACAATAAATGGATTAAGAAATCAGGGAAACAACACGCTTCACAACAGCCACAAGTAATATAAAATATCTGTGTGTAACTCTAACCAAGCAGGTGACAGACTTGTATGACAAGAACTTCAAGTCACTGAAGAAAGAAACTGAAGAAGATAGCAGAAGATGGAAAGATCTCCCATTCTCATGGACTGGTAGAATTAACATAGTAAAAATAGCCATCCTACCAAAAGCAATCTACAGATTCAATGCAATTCCCAGCAAAATACCAACACAATTCTTTACAGACCTTGAAAGAACACTATATGGAACTTCATATGGAAAAACAAAAAGCTAAAGTAATCCTGTACAATACAAGAACTTCTGAAAGTATCACCATCCCTGATTTCAAGCTGTACTACAGAACAATAGTAATAAAAAAATCACATGGTATTGTCATAAAAACTGATAGGGTGATTAATGGAACCGAGTCAAAAACCCCAAAGGTAATCCACACACCTCTGTACACCTGATTTTTTATAAAGAAGCCAGAAATATGTGATGGAAAAAAGAAAGCATCTTCAACAACTGGTACTGATCTAACTAGATGTTGACATGTAGAAAAAGGCAAATAGATCCATATCTATTTGCACAAAACTCAAGTCCAAGTTGATCAAAGACCTTAACATAAAACCAGATACACTGAACCTTATAGAAGAGAAAGAGGGTAATAGTCTTGAAAGTACTGGCCCTGGAGACAACCTCCTAACAGAATACCAATTATGGAATCACTAAAATCAACAATTAATAAATGGGACCTCATGAAACTGAAAAGCTTCTGTAAGGCAAGATGCTAAATAGCTGGGTAGTGCTGGCACATGCCTGTAATCCCAACACTTGGGAGGCAGAGGCAGGTGGATCTCATAAGTTCAAGGCCAGCCTGGACTACAAAGCAAGTCTAGGACATCCAGGGCTACACAGAGAAACCCTATCGCAAACCAAAACAAAGGACAAAACAGCCTACAGAACAGGAGATCTTCACCAGCCCCACAACTGACAGAGGGCTGATACCCAAAACATATTAAAGAACTCAAGAAACTAGACAGCAACAAACCAGATAACCCAATTAAAAAAAATGGATACAGACCTAAACAGAGAATTCTCAACAAAGGAAGCTCTAATGACCAAGAAACAAAAGAAATGTTCAACATCATTAGCTGTCAGGGAAATACAATTAGAACAACTCAGAGATTCCATCTTACACCGATTAGAATGGCTAAGATCAAAGAGACGGGCGACAGCTCATGCTGGTGAGGATGTGGAGCAGGGGGACACTCCTTTGTTGGTGGAGTACAGGCTTGTACAGCAGTTTGGAAATCAATATGGTGGTTTCTCAGAAAAATGGCCACTGATCTATACCACTCCTGAGCGTATACCCAAATGATGCTCCACCATACCACAAGGACAGTTACTCAACTATGTTCATAGCAGCTGTATTCATAATAGCCAGAAACTGGAAACAACGCAGATGTCCCTTAGCGTAAGAGTGGATAAAGAAAATGTTGTATATTTACACAATAAAGTACTGTTACTCAGCTATTAAAAACAATGACATCATGAAAATTTGCACGCAGTAAAGGTGGCACAGACGTAGAAGTGGCCAATGACTGGTTTGGCTTGAGATCCATCCATGCCATGAGAGAGAGCCCACCCTTGACACTGCCCAGAGAGAGAGAGAGAGAGAGAGAGAGAGAAACCAGATGCCAGATAGCCCAGAGACCCATGATAGAAGCAAACATGAATTTAAAAAAAAAGTCAATGAAATGATTCCTAAAGATATTCTGCTATAGTCATAGATTGCCATCTAGCTCAGTTGTCATCAGAGAAGCTTCTTCAGCTAGCGACTGAGAAAATCAGACTCAGAAGCCCACAGCCAGACATTAAGCAGAGCTTGAGGAATCCGGAGGAACGGGGGAAGATCAATTGTGTGAACCAAAGGGGTCAAGGACACAGAACGCCCACAGAATCAGCTAACCTGAGCCCATAGGTTCACAGAGGCTGAACCGACAACCAGGGAGCCGCATGGGACTGAGCGAGGCCCTTTGCGTGTGTTAGAGTTGTGTAGCTTGGACTTCTTGTGGGACAGTAGGAGCAGGAACCATCTCTGTTTGACACGGCTGCCTGCCCGTGGAACTCTTTCCCTCTACTTGTTGCCTTGTCTAGCCTTAATAGAAGAGAATGTGCCTAGTCTTTCCCCTAACTTTTTATTGGTTCTTTGTGAGTTTCACACCATGTACCCCCAGTCCCACTCATCTCCCGTCCCCTGGTACTCGCCCTCCACCTTTGCAACTTCCCCCACAAAAGAGAAAAAGAAAATCTCATTGCGAAAGCTGTACTGCCCCACAGCATACATACCCTTTGGTCCACACTTTTTTGCCTAAAAATGTTCATTGCAATGAGTCATTCATTGGTCTGGATTGAAGCCTCAGACTTTATTTTATACCATCAATACTGGGACCTCACTGGCCTCCTGTCATATCCTGTAGTTTTGGATCTGCAGGACTGGCCCCTTCACACACTCAAGCAGTCCATTCGGGGGTAGATGTTGGGGTAGGCCAATTCAAAGCCCTGGAACTGAGCCCACCAACTCTACTGCACCCAGACCACCGGGATGAGCTCTCCTGCCCTGCCTTGGCCAGCACCTCAGCCAGCAAGGGGCAGAGCCAGCTCTCTGTGCTCAGACCCTCCTCTCAACAGCCACCCCCCACAACCAGGGCCAGCCCTGCCCTCTGCCTAGGTGAGGTGCAAGAACAGATCTCCTTTTGTTGCAGCTGGTGAGGGACAGGGCCAGTTCTCCCTCTCTCGGGATGCCAGGCCAGCTCTCCTGCCTGCCATGGGTGGCAAGGGATGGGAGGGGAGAGAAGGCCATCTCTCCCATCCACGCCAAGGTGCCTAGTCTTCGTTTGCCATGGCTGGTTGATATCCATCAAGGCCTCCCCTTTTCTGAAGAGAATCAGAAGAGTGGATGTGGGTGAAGGGAGGTGGGGGTGGGAGGGGCTGGGAGGAAAGGGAAGAGGGGAAACACATGTATGTATGCATATATGGGGACGGCACTTTAATTCACATAGCACAGCCCTGAAAACGTTACTGCAAAATTAGACTGAGTAAAATGTTCTCCCATTTCATTTCTCTGTGGGGTCTTAGTAGTGTTTGAAAGGCTTTGGCTTGAAAAACGGCCTTGAGACCCCATGCTTAGTGAAGATATTTGTTTCTGCTGTTCAGATTCCAGGAACAACATCTCTGGGCATGTCTGTTTTTAACCTGAGCAACGCCATTATGGGCAGTGGGATTTTGGGACTCGCCTTTGCCCTGGCCAACACCGGGATCCTCCTTTTCCTGTGAGTATCGACATGGCCTTGCATTCTATTTTATGTCTGTTTTTTGTATGTTTCCTGTTAGGTCCTAAAAAAGCCAGGTAGGTGGCTAACTGCGGTGTTAAATTAGCTTACCAAAGAACTTGCTCACCCTAGGCCTCTAGACTTATTCAGTACCTGTGGCTTCTCCCCGCACTCCTCACTCCGCCCCCTTTGACTCCTCCCAGCTCTCCTCACTGAGCTTCCTACCCTAACCCTCTCCAGCCAAGGGCTTCTCTTTCCTTCCCCCACCTTCTCTTTCTTATATATAACCTGCCATTTTGACCTTGTGCTCTTTTGGCTTCTCTGGGTTCTCTCTCTCCTCCACTCCTGGATCTCTCTTGGTCCTCTCTCTCTTCTTCTCTTCTTTCTCTCCTTCATCTTACAGCCTGGTTCTGTCTGGACCCTTCCAAATGCCTCTGGCGTTGCTCTCTCTCATATCTACAATAAACCTTCTCCTCAGCCATACCTAGGAGTGGTCATGTCTTCATTTTCATTCACTTCCCTTTACCTCATAGAAAAAAGATGGGGATGTTTCTAAACGGTTTTTATTTATTGGCTTGTTTATTAGTTTGGTTAAGTAACCAGTACGTACTTCCTGAGTGCCTTTCAGGAATGTGCTTGGTGCCCACAAGAAACAAATTCCTTTTATCAACCGAAATGCTGATGCGTGCATTTTTGTAAGGACTGAAACGTTCAAAATTAGCTTTAGCTTTTTGTGTGTTTGGTATTTTTGGACTCCACTTGTCACCGTAAATCTCAGCCACAGGGTCAGAACACTGAACCACATTTAACCCAGCTTTTCATCACTCTGGCATTGAACTGCTCTGGAGCATGTGCTGTGTCCAAAGGCAACAGCAAGTGTGTTGTAGTAACTGTCCAGGATGTACTGAGGAGCTGCTTGCTGTGGAGATGAGCGGGTAGCGTGCGCGCTCCCTCAGAGCCAGTGAAAAAGTTCACCTCAGATGCTGAGGAGGGGCTGGGTAGGTATTTCCAGTCGGGATTTGGTTAAACGGACCTTGTGCAAAGTCTTCACACGTCCTGACTCTTCACACTCACCCTCAGTTGTCTGGGAGGTCACGCCCTCCTCTTCCCACCACATTGGCCAGCTCCCACCCTTTCAATGGGAGCTTTGTTTTATTGGAGGTGGTGACCAAACTGGCCAGTTAATGCGCACGCGCGCACACGCACGCACACACACACACACACACACACACACACACCATTCATGGATGGATATGATATGTATTGTGAACCAGGTTTAAGAGTAAAATGTGTCAGACAGTGTGCTTTTAGGGGTGACTTATCTTTCCCTGCGTGAAGCTCTGAACCTCAGACATGCTTAGGGAGTTACGCTGACTTTCATTGTATGTCAAATGAGGCTTCTGTGTGCTAGCCCCCATCTCCTCTTCTGAACACGGGAGCTGTCTAAGGAAGCCAGCTTGGCCCCTCTGAGATTCAGTTCCCTTTTCTGGACAAGGAAACTTCGTTAGGAATGTCTCAGAGCCCTGCTAGTCCCTAAAGACCTGTGACTTTTCAGATATTATAATGCTAGCCACATTCAGGAATATGTGAACCAATTTCCTTCCCCTCCCTTCCTCCTTTTCTCCCTCCCTCCCTTTCTTCCTTCCCTCCTTCCTTTTGTTTTTTTAAACAAAAGGCCTCTGCCTCCTGAGTATTGGGCTCAAAGGTGTGCACCACCATGGCCCGCTTTCTTTTTCTTTTTAAAATTAAAATGTTGTTATTATTGTGTATGAATGTGGAGGTCACAGGACAGCTTTGAAGTTGTTTCTCCACTTTTTTGTGGTCTGGAGATCCGACTCAGGTGCCTTTGCTCAGTGTCTCATTGCCTCGGTGGTTTTTGTTGTTGTTGTTTGTTTGTTTTTAAGTCTACTGCAATATACCAAGTTATGTGTGGACACAGTGTTAAACATCAATGCCCAGATGACAACTCCAGTAGCTCTTCCTTCGTATCAGGTCTCCAGGGAATCTGCGCAGCAACTGTAGGGGACCGCCCTGTCCCTACCTCCCTGTTTGAGAGATAATGGAACCCATGCTTGGAGAGACTCCTGGCTTGGTGGGGGGTGTTCTCTTATTTCTGGGAATTCTCTTCCCTGATAAATCTCTGGTGTCCTGTATCCCATCCCCTGGCCTTTCTGGGTTTGCTTCCTTGCTGTTGTTACTGAGACACTCCAGGCTTCCGCTGTTCCTCTGTCTTTGACTAGCAGTTTGTTCAGCCATGACACTCTGTGTTTGAAACAGTTTGTCTGCAGAATTTTGAAAGAGTTGGTGTCTGGCCCTGTGGCAGGGACCCGTGCACTTCTCAGCTAGGATCTTCTCTGCGTGGTCTGGTTTGGGTTTTACTCTTACTGGTCGCACACTGCATGTCTTTGTCCCACTGTCCACAGTGGTGCCCGGAAGGGAACGTTTCTTCAGTTGTGTCAGGTCCTTGGGCCGACTTTTTCGTTTTGTTTTGTTTATATTTGTTTTATTTTGGGGACAGGGTCTCTCTACATAACCCAGGCTATCCTGGAACTCACTATGGAGTTCTTAAACTCACACATATCTGATTGCTTCTGCCTCCTTAAAGGCATTGACCACCACACACGGCAATCTTTTTCATTTTGAAATCCTTGGCCTTCCATTTAGGAACATTTTCTTACATTAATGTGAATTGATCTACCTACCTATCTATCCAGCTATCCATCTATCTATCATCCTATCATCTATCTATTTATCTATCTTTTATTTCCTTCCTTCCTTCCTTCCTTCCTTCCTTCCTTCCTTCCTTCCTTCCTTCCTTCCTTCCTTCCTTCCTTGTTTTGGACCTTTTTCTTCTTTCATACTTTTTATTTATTTATTTTTACCTCTATACTATTTCACTGTACTTTCTGGCTGTCAATTTTCTCCAGACTCTGTACTGATTATTTACATGTGTTAGTCTTTCCTTTATAAGCAATTTCTAAACTGTTCCCTTCCAGTGTCACTTGGCCCTGTGTCGTGGTTTCAGGGTGTTCTCTGAGGAGTCTAACAGTAACTGTTCTCAATTACAGAAAATTTCAAACATTGAGGGGAATAAAAGATTTTCGTGTTCCCTTCCTTTCCATAACTGTACTTGTTTGATCACCTCTACTCCTAGATTATCTTGAAAACCAAGATTATCTTGATCACACTACTTTATTCATAAACATTTCTATGTATAGCTTTAAAAATGTAGCTAAAACCTACAGTTAATTGTTCCTTAATATCAAACACCCAACAAATATTAAAATGGTTCTGATTTGTATTTTTATATTTTTGAGGTGGTGTCTTACTGTGTAGCCCTTGCTACTCACAGAGCTCTGCCCATCTCTGCCTCTCAAGTGCTGGGACTCCAGGCATACAGCCCGACAAACAAACAGAAACAGCTGGATTATTCAGACAAGGTCCATAGAATGCATTTGATTGACATATTTTAAGTCTTTTAATTTATGTAGGTTCCCACCTCTGTCATTTTCCCCATCAGATTCACTTGTTGGGCAAACTGGGCCATTTGTCTCCTGGATTTTCCTCTGTTTGCTGCCTTAGCCCCTACCCCCACCCCACCCCGTTGCTCCCCATTGACTTTAGTTTGTTTTGATTTTAGTTTGTTATTTCACACTTTCATCAGCATGAGGTGGAGCTTTCATTTTGGCTCTGGTCTAAAATGGGGAAAACAAAGCAGACTGTACAGGGCCTGTGAGCAGTAGCTGCCCTTGAGGTCCTTGCAGAGGTCCTTCACTGCAGGGACCACCCATGCAGGCTCTGTAGGATGCGCCTCTTTGGCTGTTTAGGTTATCCTACCTGCAGGGCATGGCTGCCGGCTCTGTGCGACCAAGCAACGGCATGTGTTCCTGCACGTTCAGTTTTCATTACAGGTCATGCCTGTAGTTCCCACCTTGAGATTCTATTTGTTTTAAAGAAGGGGTCTCACCATATAGCCCAGGCTGGCCTCCACCTTGCAATCCTCCTGCCTCAGCCTTGTAAGTGCTAACGTTATAGGTATGTGTCACCACACCTGGCTAGACCTCAACAAGATTACATGTTGACCAGTGTCTTCAGACTTTTGCCAAAACTGGAGAACAGCCCATTGTCTTCACCACACATAACTGTGGTCTGAGGGTGGTCTAGCCGCTTCTTCAAGGAACGCGTGCATGCTCAGCATGTTTTTAGGCCACTTTCCCATCACCCTTGGCGTCTAGGAGTACTGCCGGTGCTTTGGGGGGATTCTGGTATGAGCTAACTAGCTTGGTCTTGCTTTCTCTTCTCAGTTTATGTTCCATCTCTGTCTACTCTTCCTCCAGAATGGTCTTGTTTGCATATGTGTTAGCAGATTAATAGTAAGTAAATGAATAAAGTAAAATAAAATTCCCAACAGTGGCTTCTCACGAGAGAGCAGAACTAAATCATTGTATCCAGTCTTCCATTCCTAGAAAACCCAATGGTTTTTAATCATACTGGTTTAGGAGTAATTGATCTAGTCTGTTCCTTTTTAGCCTCTGAAATACGGTAAGGACTGGGTAAAGGGGGCTCGGTGTTGAAGGGAGAGAGTTCCCTGGATGAAGCTGCTGGGAATCCTTTTCTTCGATATGCAGCATATCAGACCCCCGAGGTGGAGGCTGAAGGGGCAGGGGTATAGAGACTCAAGAGTTTCTCACAGAATGTGGAACTTTGCAGCTTCAGAACGAGGAAGTTCTGGCTTGTTGAAAAGCCAGCTGCTTCTGCAGCTGCTCCAGCCAGCAAGCAGTTGGCAGACTCAGGTATCAGCTGCTTCAGGGCTCCGGTCCAGGCTCACTGGCCATCGGAGGAGGGCGTCCAAGGCTGCCCAGGCTTTCTTAGAGCCACAGCTGGGAAGGCTCCTCCCTGTCGCCCTGGGGCTGGGTGTGAGCTATTCACTGGGTTGTCTGGAAAGCTGGTGTGACTCCTTGTTTGGGTTCAATTTTTGGCCCAGCATAATAGCCTTTACC